TTTATACCATCTCACTCGGCACTCCTGTCCAGACCTAGCACTCACGCTCCTGAGGTTTATACCATCTCACTCAGCACTCCTGTCCAAAATAAATGGAAACTTCGCCAAAAAATCTGTGCAGTGAATATTTACAGCAGTTTTATTTGTGATAATCAAAAACTAGGACTAACCCAGATGTACTTCAGTGGTTAAGCAAACTGTAGTTCATTTGCCTGCCACTAAATAGTAGTCAGCAATAGAAAATTACCTACTGATACAGCAGCAACCTAGATGAATCTCCAGAGAATTGCGCTGTGTAAAAGACACCAATCCCCAAAGTTAGCCTGCTGGACATTCTTGAAATGACCAGATTAGAGATGGGGAACAGATTCTTGGTGACCAGGGAATAGGGAGGAGGCGGCAGAGGGAAGTGGTTGCAACTACATAGCAGCCTCAGGAGGGACCCTGTGCAAGGGGTGCCCTGGATCTGGAGGTGTCCGCGTGAGGGACCCTGTGCGAGGGGTGCCCTGGGTCTGGAGGTGTCCGCGAGGGGTGCCCTGGGTCTGGAGGTATCCGTGTGAGGGACCCTGTGCGAGGGGTGCCCTGGGTCTGGAGGTGTCTGTGTGAGGGACCCTGTGCGAGGGGCCCTGGGTCTGGAGGTGTCCTTATGGATCCTGGTGGTGAGGTTCACACTACACTTATCTAAGATGTTACCAATGGGAGAACTGGGTAAAGATCGCAGAAAATCTCTGTGCTATTCCTGACAACTGCATATGAGTCTACAATGATCTCAACATAGAAAGGTAAACATTTTTAAAAATCATTCTTCTCCCTGTAAGCATTTGTGACTTATAAAACATGCTACTGTGCTCTGAGATAAATACTCAGTCTCCGCAATCATCTTACTTGGTTGCCAAATTACTTTGTTGGTTTTTGTGGAGTATGTTTTGGTGTTTTTGAAACTGTGACCTCTAATCCAGAGGTCTCTTTGTAGCCGTGTGGTAGAAGTTTCTCAGGCCCGTTGCACTCCGCTTTTGGTCTTGCAGGTATGCCACCATATACACCATGTTCCCAGTGTTCTCCTTAGTGCTGGACCAGGACGTGAAGCCAGAGATGGCGATGCTCTACCCAGAGCTGTACAAGGACCTCACCAAGGTATGGGCCTCAGGCAAGCTGTCTGCCTCAAGACTGGCACTCACGCCTGGCATTTTACACAAGTGAGAAACAGGCCAGTCAGGAGGCATTTCCAAGCATTTTGTGAAAAACGATTCTCTGTCCTTCAAGACGTTTTTTATGTCTCCTAATTATTTTTGGCATTTTCTCTTTGAGTTAAACTTCAAAAGGGGAAAAACATCTCAGGGAAAAAAATTTCTGAAATGTTTGCAGCAAAGCTCTAATATCGTACGTAAAATTAGAATTGTAAAAGATGCTCTCACCATTTGTGGAACTTTCATGAAGTGAGCTCACCAAATGTCAGAGAAGAGCTCGCTTCGTAATTTCTGTAGAAAGGCTCCCGGACAGTGTCGCTGCACCTGCTGCAGAAGTAGCATTCCAAAGCTGAGGAACCCATGGGCTTCACGTTTCCTGTGTATTTCTAAGTCTGTCGATAGTTGTGGATCTCACAATTATATCTGAAAAGTGACTGACAGCATGCGTCTGTCCCTGGGGTCCATAGACTATTTTTGCAGTGATGCCACCAAGAAAAAAATCCACCCCAGGAAACTTCAGTTACCTGAAACTCTGCAAAAGATGCATTTATTTGGCTTAAAACTGTGCTCTGTTAGGATTAAAGGAGGTTTGAATTTATCATATTCTTACAACAGCATATTTTATAGCATAGAACGTGTAAGGATGCGGGGTAGAAGAGAGGCTCAGCTCTGCAGACACAAATCATGGTAACTCTGGTATTTTCCACGAAGCTAGCTTTTTTGAGCCAACATTGAGAACAAAATCCACTAACCTGCAATTAAATTTAGATTTACAATTGATAAATGACAGGTGTCTGAAATTATCAACTCAGATTTTTAAAGCAGTAGCTGTATGGTAAAGAAAGAATTAGATTAGGCATTAAAGAAAGTTAATGACTACCTAACAAACAGATTCTAGTCCAACTAACCACTAATTAACCAACTACCTTCTTACCTAGCTAACCACAAACTGAGAAACTAGACTCCCGTCTATCTAACTAGTAACTAACAAATGATACTCTATCTAATAACAACTAACCACTAACAAACTAGACTCTTATCCAGCTAACCACTGACTGATGAACTAGACTCTAGTCCAGCTATAACCACTCATTAGCCAGAGAGGTGCTGGGGAAGTCATGTTAACTTTTTGATTTCTTGATGTTATTGTAAGGGGCTAATGAAATAAAGACTTTAAAGTTTCTTGAAAAAAAATAATTCTCATTACTGTTTTAATCAAGACAAATAAAGCTAGTTCACCAGTATCACATGAAATATAAATATCAAGCATTATTATCATGATGGTGATATCATCATGGCGACTGGGAAACCTCATCCCAGGTCACATCTACAACTCGAAGGAAGACTGGTTAAGTGTCTTAAACTGATGAAACCATTGTGATGAAGTCCAGCAGAGTAGGGAGCAAAGATCCAAAAACTTCGGGAAGCTAGTATGAATAATGATCATTTTAGTAGCATACGCATTTCCTCATTCCCAGAGACTCCAAACATGTTTACCTAAATGCTGCCTTACAAACGTACGGAAACAAGCCTTTCATGTAAGAACGTTAAACTTTGATGCTCTACCCTCAAACCTAGGAAACCAGCACCCAAGCAGGGTGAAGGTCACTAGGGGTCTCGTAGCCCCAGCCGGTGCTCCTAGATCACTGTGCTGGGAGAAGCTTGTCATAGGACTGTCATGCCACAGCCATCTTGACCGCCTGTTGGAGTGAGGCACTAACACGTTTTTACTGTTTTCAAGGATTGAGATTGTACCCACCGGTCTCTTTCTTTGTGGATATCTAAATCACTCTAGAAACAAGATGCTCATAAGGCCACAGGTGTCTGACGGAGCAGCTAATTATCCCTAACTGTGGCCATGGAATCAGTACGTTCTGTGTTACTCACTGGTGCCATTGAACCCTGTTCACTTCTGATTGAGTTGGATCTCATTAAGGGCATTAAATTTCCATTTTTGTTAAGGTGATCAACAATTTAGACTGTTTTAGTATCCTAAAGTCAGATCACCATCCCTACATTTTTTTTTTTTTTTTTGGTCAAGAATTCAGCCACTCATTTTCTCTAAGCTTCTTTTCTTCAACATCTTATCTGCATTGTAACTTTTTTTTTTTTTTTCCTTTGGAGACGGAGTCTCGCTCTGTTGCCCAGTAACTTTTTTTTTAATCGACTACACTTCAAATCCTTTAAAAGAAAATAGCACTAAAGTACTGAGCCACTAAAGCTAATTTAGTTGTTTTTTCTTATTGAAGCTAAAGAATTATTTTGAAGCTCTCTGTTACTTCTGAACAGTTCACCAAGGTGGCACAGACTGCAGCACTCTGCGTTGTTGTCTGATGACCGGGGCAACTGGAGACTGGACGTGCCGACGTAGTCTATCCAAGCTGGTCAGTGTCAGTGGACACCGAGTCCCCAGTCCGTTGGCTCAAGCTCCTGTGATGTAAGACAACATAGCCCTGCTCTCAACAAGCCTGTGTTCTAGTCAGGCTAAGAAAGCAGTTAATCCGTGGCATAGAGCAACAGCGTAAAGGGCTGCAGGCTGAAATGTGAGTGGCTGACCAGCGAGTGCCAGTCCTGTCAGTTCTGAGTCACATATCTCAGGTCATGGTAAATTTATAAAATACCTTCAGAGGCAAGGCGTGCATTCCCTGCACACAGGAAAAGACTCAACTGGAAAGAAAATCTCCTCTTTTTCTTGTGTATTTGATAACCAGTCTTTTTAATCTAAAAGTACAAATAAGGCACGCATTATAAATCTCATTTACTGTCCTAATGAGTTAGCCAACCTCGAGTATAAACATTTGTCCCCTGCTGTGTCTCGATGGCCTGAGCCACACATGGACACAGTATCTATTCAGTAAGTATTTGATAAATGAATGAGGCAGTGAATGAATCAGTTAAACCAAGAGTCAGGATTTCCTTTGCTTTCCTAAAACTATGTAGCTTTTATTCTCTACAGAAAATGGTATATTTGCAACAGTATTTTGTTGTTCTTTTGAAGCTCAAATTTTGCTTTGAATTATTAAACTTTACTCAAGATGAGTTCAGGGACTTAATTTTCTGGATGCCAATAAGACAGGAAGCTGACCTACTCATCTCTCTCCTAACTCTGCACATGTCTTCATTCATTCTGAATGGTGCGTGACCACTTAGAGAAGCTGCTTAACTCCAAGATCCAGGCATCAGGACTAGTAAGGTGACCCTGGTTAACTGAGCCAGCCCACGTGGTCCCAAAATATCTCAGATTGTGGCTGTGAATTTTGTTACCAATTCATAATCTTACATTACCAGCTAAC